ATTCTCAATCATCTCTTAGTCTCGCTGATGGCTCGTCGTCTTTTTGAGGTCTACTAGTGAAGCAGACACGATTCCATATGAGTGCGGCGTTGCGGGAAAAAGGATTGGGCTGCGCATAAATGGGATAAATGAAAACCCCGTTCATGAAAAGCTCATGGTGCAACGGCGAACAAATCGAATTGCATGGTTCTATGATTACAGAAATCGTTCAATGAACACAAAGACCAACACGAAGGAGGAATGATACAAAAGAAGGAGAGTAGCATTGGATGCTTGCGGGCCTCTCAAGGAAGCTACTAATTCACTAACGGACCCAAAACTCCGCTCTCACCCATTCGACTCGACGGTCCTCCCAGGGCCCTGTTGTGCAGCAGAGAAGTTCGATGATTCTTCAAATGCCTAAAAAGAGTACTGCACAATACTCGTAGACCGCTTCAACGATGACTTCTGAAATTTAACTTGCACTTACTACATCTATGCGGAATGCGCATCTCAAATCTTCGAAAGCTATCCCATCTTCGGGACCCAGGAGAATATACACCGTTGGGCCGGTCATATGATAAGAACAAGAGATAACAGATGGGCGAAGGGAACAGTGGAGTGGCTTCGAAGAAAATGTAAGCAACCTCTTGAAAGACCATTTAAACGATGGATGGAGGGGTTCGTGGTCAACGTCAACCTTCTTCATTCGCAGAAGGAGACGCTTTTAGGAATTCGGAATGGATCTCGAATACGTCACCATGTTGGAAACAGAGTACCATGAGAGAAAAACGAATGGAAGTAATTCTGGGGCCTGCATTACCCGTGAAAACGGACCATGCGAGTATTCAAGTAATTCTTTTGTGGATAACAAACATCAGAGACTTTTTATTTGTGAAGTCTACGTCGCCGTGAAAAGGTGAATATGTTCGTTTCAGAGCGACATACAAGACAAAATATCTTCATTCAACGGCTGTCGAGGCGTGAATCATTAAAGGTATCACTGAAATAACTCAGCTTTAACACAACTTGGAAATATGCATGTTCTGTCCTCTTTCTCTCAGTCTATGAATCATTCTTGTTAGCCAGTTTGCTTTTAGATTTAAAATATGCTGAATCACATCGGAGAGACCTCAAATGATCATGATAGTGAAGATGTGGACACAACTAAAAAAGTGTAGAAAACTGTTAAAAAAAAGATATCTGAATATACCACACACTAGGCCGGAAAAACAATGAGAGCAGTAGTGATTTTGATTAGTGTATCATCCATCACTACTTATCATTGCATCACATTTCTTATCAACTGCGATAAGCTATCCCCTTCTTCATCTGTTAAAGAATCAGACAGTTCATGGGAAGATCTGAAGAAATAGGTGGAAATGATATGCATGGGTAGCGATGAAAAAAGCAAAAAGATGATGAAGAGGCTCAAAGCAATGTGGGAAAGAACAAGCCAGAGGGTGATGGTACCGAAGAAACGCGAATTACCGACTGAATGGGTTCAAAGCGTAAATCCATGGAATAAGTTTGTAAATTCTTCGGCAGCCAAGCTAACATTCAACAAGATGAAGAACAGGGCCGCATCTACGTGAGAGGCTTTTCTCTTTTTTTGGTTTGTCTAGTAATTGCTCAATACCACCAGTGATGGCGTTTCTACGAACAACATTGTCATTTTTTCTTGGACTTTGAGATCAAAGTTTCTAATGTGGACAAGAGATCAGATTGTCACTAGTGTGTGACGCATTCGTCTTTCATTCGAATTAAAATCGAATAATATCTCATATACAATACGGTTGTGGTTTGGATGGCATTCAGTGCTACAGTGCTAGGTATACTTATTGATTGTAGACTATTGTCCAGTTTGCTTCACTAACTCATTAACACTCAGTAATCTGCCAATTCGTTTAAGATCTTTCTAGACATATCAGAAGATTTAGCTTACGCAGTATATCGATAGATATCGGAATGATAGGAATCATTATGTAAGCAGTGTTCTGTGTATAGACATTGACCATAGTCTCCCTTATAACATTTGGTCGATAATAAGAAATAATGAGGGGACAAGTTAGGAAATTTGTTTCACACATCCACAGTTATCGAATGTGCGATAAATCTATGTCCTGGATTGAGATCACACGCAGTCTTTGAGGGTGGTGACACAAGATTATTAGATATGGCTGAGAGAAAGGCAAATCAACGAACTTGGTTGGTGTACTGGATAGCACGTGAGCCCCGTGGTAAGAGTAATCGTGGGTGCTGAAAGCATACTTGAGGCTTCGAGCTCTGTACATCTCTCGGCATCCCTATGGTTATAGCTCACATATTACCCTAGCATGAAATAAGAATTTACGGTATAAAAAGACGACTTTATAAGGCTTTTAGTTATCCAGGCTTGTTCGTCTACGGTTAGTTATAGATTTTTTCGCTTTTAAGTTAATAGTTTTCTCGTTTCATTCCTCTGTACAATCGTTGCTAACTGCTCAAATACTCATACAAGAAATTTCCTTAGATTCTTGAGCTTGCACGAGGTGGTTTTATGACTTTTATTCAGCTAAGCTTTTGACGTGTTCATCTTCTTCAGAGACGATTATCCGAGTCGATCGTCCACAGTCGTTTGTTCTCGCGATGTCTTCATACTCGTATAGAGTCGAATCTTCTTCATATCTCGAATGTAGTAACATCACTCGGTTGCGAAGAAAACGAAGATGTCGAAACGTTAGCCGAGTAAAAGTTATATAACAAACTCACGCAAGCTGAACAAACCAAAAAAATTTATGGATTATTCACGCTGAGGTTAAATTCGAGTAAAGTATTATTGAACAGTGGGCTTGCCATTCTAATACTGACTGCTACAGGATCGTTTTTCGACATGAAACCAAATCATTATCAATCGGCAATCAGTCAACAACTATCCTGCGTAGAATGGCACTGTCGAGAGAGTTTCCTCATTCGAGAGGTGTTCCATTCAAGAACACTGGATTCGACAGGACTAAGAAGACCCACAGCACTTGGAAGAACGACTGTGGACCATTAACTGGCACCATCGGCTGCCTAGAAGACGAAGACGTCGAAACGTTAGCCGAATAAAACATATGTGACAACTTCCGGTAAGTGAATAAACCAAGGAGATTTATTAATTATTCACAGTGAAGTTAAGTGAAAGTCGGTTTTGTAAAGTATTGTTACACATACGACATTTTCTAGATTATTGTGCCTTATTGTTTTATCAAAGAGCCGGTAGCGCAGTGGTAGTGTTGCTGTTAATAATGAACACGGTGCAGGTCTAACTCTACACCGGGTTTGCCATGACTGCTATCCCTCCAGGGTGACTAAAGTAGTAGTACCAGACTTGTCTGGGTATAACTTATCGTTAGGTTATTATTAGAAAGTCAGGTTGGACCGATCTAGTTCGGCTACTCTGAGATTTGACGTAGAATGGACTCGACCAGCGTTCGACGACAAGCTTCAAACAACGACCGAACCTGGGCTCTAAAGGTCCGAAGGCGTTCGTGAATGACGGATAGGAGGAGACAAGTCGGATACAAGAGGTGCTGGAGTGCGCACAATCGACGTGAAGTCAGGTTGTGTAAAAAAAATAAGAAATATTGCATTATCCTTTTTTAAGTGTTATACGTTCACATCCATCAGCGCTAACGATTTCTCAGATTTTTTGCTTTAGATTGAGCTCTATACCAAAGGTTTAATAACCGCCGAAATTTCACGTTTTCTAAAAAAAATAGTATTCTTCTTGTCGAAAAGATAATTTCGATTTTGTATACGAAAACATACATTTCTACTAAAATTTACTAGTCGTTGACAACAGCATCATCACCAAGGCATTTCTGCTAAAAACACGCAGCGCTATTAATTCACAGAGTAATAATACTCTAGGCGAATGTAACACGCATACTCCTTCGTTCCTTCGTTAAGGTACGTCCTCTGTGTTGGATCTACTGAAATGACGGTAGACGATTCAACGAAATGGTGTCAGCGAATTCATCGTTCATGTTAGCTGATACAGCGTTTGCTGATGTCGTATCATCCACTCGTAGGAAAAGACAGCACTCATCGCCGTCATTCGTTGATATGCTTCATTCATTTATCAACTAACTCTCCAATGACTTCTCTACACCTCTAGAATGATATAACGAAGAATTTTCTTGAAATTCCGTAATTCTACTTGATGGCTTAACCCTTCTTACCTAAAATACAGTTTTCTAATACTTCGCAAGGGAACATGACTCAGCTTAAGTTCAGAACTTTACTCAACTTGTATAGTGTTGAGATATTTGCGAAACTCCGGACCGCAGGTGTTTGTGGTGGGGAACGAACGAGCTATTGTCCTTTCCGGGAGTAACGCGTTCACCACCACACCATGCAGGTCTTTCGTTTAGTCTGTCTCTCAGCTAGTTCTATCGATGTCTCAGAACGCGTTACTCTCCGGAAAGGACAATAGCTCGTTCATTTCCCACCACAAACACCTGCGGTCCGGAGTTTCGCAAATATCTCAGCATTATAAAAGTTATATTTCGCAACATACCTTGCCGTTAAAAAGAATAGGCAGTATATAAAAAGGTTAAGTTTACTCAACTTAGTTTTATCGCAGTAGAGGAACATTTCTAAACTAGCTGTGGCAAAAATGAATCATTTCTCCTCGTTTTAAATTGTAGAGGAATGTGTAAACCTTGCATGATAAGCCTTTACCGATGCGCCAGTTATTCATACACATAGGTAAGCTGTCGAGTTCTGTTCTTTAAATTCCTAAAATCGTATTTAGACAATTTTCTTACGATCAATGAAATTTGGTGCATAGGGAAATCACAGTGCTGAGGTTTAAGGAGTCAAACTGTGAACAAATAGAAGAACATCGGAGAAGAAAGGTGAGGTGTGGTATGCGAAATATATAACTGACTTCTGAGCAGGTTGGTCAATCTTGCTGTTAGTGTGTTAATGAACAGTTTTCTTTCTTTTTTTTCTGTTTTGTGGTTTTTGTGTTGTGGTGGTCGTTCACGCTATATTTAGCAAAGATTGCATGTCTTGGCGCAGTGCTGGCGACGTAGAGTTTCGTTAAAGAAGGTGTTCGTGCAGAAGCCGTTCAGAGCCCAGCTATTGCATCTGTAATGAGAAAATGACATTGATAGTGAGAACCGTTTTTATTTTTCCTTCTATCATTGTTGCTAGAATTTCGCTTAATTAGCAGCCGAGTGATGTAGCTATGTCCCGGCATAGGAACGGCATTGCTCAGAAGAATCACAAACCATCTTTCAATTTCTGCCCATTTCTGTAGAAATGCACAAAATCTTAAGTCATTCGTCTTCTCTGCTTATTTTTTTTTTCTTCAGGGCGTTATTATTAGGCGTTGCGATGGATGTTTGGTGATATGTTACCGAAGAACGTCAGTATTCTGTAAACCATGAAAAACAATTTTGCCTAGAAAAACTATCTAGTTGAATGAACGATAATTGCATTTCTCTTTATGGCTTAAATAAACGATCCTGCGGATCCATTTTTTCGAAAGATTTTTACCGAAAGCCAAAAAATGATTCATAGCTCGACTGACAACTTTACAGCCAGCAATTGCTATTAGGAATTATAACACTTACGAAGGACTGGAGTCTTTGCAGTTCGTCCCATCTGTTTTCGCTGAAAGTGATATTTTTCTTAATTTTCACTGTAGTCGAGTGCTTATAACCATATGTGAAAAAGCATTGTTGCCGGCAGAAAGAAAAAGAAATTTCGTTTAACTCACTTGTTGGACAATAACCACAAGTTCGTTGACAGTTCTCCTAAATGGTTTCATTAAATGCATTTGTTAACAGTTTTTTGCAAAGTTTTACTTAGTCTTTAGTAATGTAGACATCCTCCTAACGGTTTACAGCCTCATCGTGGCTGGGAGGTGTTCCTGGGTTTCGGACTGCGTTCAGCGGGGGGTTCTTCCCACCAGCAGGATCTCCTAAGCTGAGGAGTCTATCACGAAGCATAGCTAAGAGTAAACCAATACCAGGATCCACCACCGTCTTTATATCAAAGTGGCATGGGGCAAATCTCCCTCCAATCCACAAGGGTTACGAGCGCATGTCGTGGTAACGACCTGGAGCAGACTTTGGCCAGACTGTCCTCGGGATTCCAGAGAACCACAATGGCTTAACCAGCAAATCTCCGGAAGGTGGTGATTATGCTGGGGACCGCACAAATAGTGAGGGCCGTTGAAGTATCAAGTATCAAGTAATGTAGACATCTATCGGTGCTCATAAATTATAAAACGGGTTTCAGTGGCGCAAAATAAACATTAGGTGATTTATGTGTCGGCGATCTGGTGTGATATCAGTCGGCTGAATTGAGCGCTGCTTTTGTCTTGTATTCTAGTTTAAGGGCTGAATTGTTCCATTTCTCAACGTTTCTTTCTCTCTTTTACGAAAGCTTAGTTATTAGCACTTAACACATTCATGTTGGCCTAAGTCAGGTTTGCTGCTGCGGCGCTTTGACCTTCACAAGTCATGCATGGTTCAATTCTTTCCAGACTTCGTCTGGAGTACATGCGAGACAGTCGCTGCACAAGGGCTGCGAGAGTATTACAGCCGATCAAGGTGCTGTGATGGCCACGCATCAAGCGCTGGTCTAGTTGGAAGTCCCAGGGAGATTAATTGCCTTCTCTCCCCATGGAATAGCGCAATGACTGTTTTTAATGGGACGAGCACCTAATGTCTTATGATCAACATTTTATTTAGCGAGAAAAATGTACAACAAAAAAGGATTTGGAAGAAATAATAAGTCCTTACTTTTACGAATACTTGCATGTCTATTTGTCTGCAGATGGCCGGATCGTTCGCACACTCGACCACTTTGTCTACACATCCACCTGTGAAACGTTGTGATTCCTATCTATCTATTTTGTCAACTTATCGCTTATCTCTTTCTTATACTTTCCGACAGTTTACTATCTCATCGTAATTGGTGAATTCGCCCATGTTTATGGAGTTATCTCAATATTATAATCACCTATGCTGGGAACCATTCCGAAGTTCAGCTAAGAGGACATCAATGCGAAGAATCGTCCTAGTCTTATTTCATCCACTTTAACAATTCTTAAACCATTCTTAAAGCAGCCTAACCCCATGCGATATGCTTTCCCGCGGCTGGTCATAATGATGGCTCAAGAATGTCCTAGCGCTGGTCTAACGCAATTTCAACACTGCCAAAGCAGCAACATACCGGTGGAAACATAAGGCCCGGTAAGTTATGTAGAACTCGTTTTCCAACCCCTTATTTATGCGATGCAGCGCGTTTTTTTCATGCTTGCTTTACTTATCATATTTGGACGATGACTTAATTAATACACTTGTCACCAACGTTTGTTGGGAAAGCACTACTTTACTCACTTTAGGAACGACAAGAAACTGTTTTTGGTACAAGTTCGTTCTTCTCGTTAGCTACTACTGGTGGTGCAGAGGATATAAAGATGGCGAGAATATCAAACATCGGTGGGAGTTAAGAAGACTCCCAGTCACACAGCAGTTAATTACCTTTTCAAGGAACAGAATAGCACAACGTATTAATTTCTCTTTTCTGGGACGATATGTGTTATATAAAACTTATGTACAGATGTCAAGCAATTCAAGACGTCGGTCATTATATTCTAAATTGGTGACAGCCTAGGGACCATTTTTTTCCAATACCTAAAGTTTGTTAGAAATCTTCATTGTGGCTAACGTTTTGACGTCATCTCTTTCTTCAAAGCCACGATGATTCAAGTTTCTATAGCAAATATTTCTTGTGATATGGTTCTTCATCGTCGAATCGTTAAGTCACTAATTCTAGCAATATGAAATTTCTTTTATGAAAGCGCATGGTTAAATAGCATCTCTTCATTCGCACGGTTCTTCTTTTCACTCCATTCGACTCTCAGTGAGTACGAAGAGCTACATAACACGAAGAAGCAACCCCAATTTGCATCCGATTCGAATCACATTTAGCCACAATTATTACTTGTAGGTACGAACCTCGTTTAGACCTGCTATTAAACCTGAACATACCAGGGGTCACGAAATTTTTTTTCGAAATAGGCTATCTAGGAAAATATTTGTTAAATAAATACTTGTGCTAAGACTATTTCTATAAAAGGATAAAACTTATAAAATACCATTTCTACAATTAACAGAATTTTGACTACCGATGCATGTTTTTCTTCTTCCCAAAGCCTTACCGCGTCATCGTTGCGCGGAGATGTTTCTTATTGGCGGACTGCGAAGTACAGTGAGAGCCCATCTACCAGCAGGGTCTCCCAGGTTGAGAAGGATGTCGACATCTCCATGCATAAACCCAACTAATACTAAGCCAACGCAAAGCATCACAAACTGGTCGCATGATGGCAAATCTCACTTTGATCCACAGGGGCGGTGACTGCATGGGGTGGTGTCCACCTGAAGAAGGCGTCGGCTAGTTGACCTCGGGACTTTTAAAAACCACAATGGCTAAACCGACAAAGTTCCATTTTCGGTATCTCACACAATAAGCTCCGTCTACGACACCCGACGATGAAATAATCGGTGAGAGGTGATCAAATCTCGGATTGCATAAGATGTTATTGGAAACGAGCGCTGTCCTATTAGTGTTCGTCGACCACGGGCTGAACTAGTCATATATAGGAACAATAGCAGACTGTTATGGGAACCGCATCACAAATATACAGCTTTTTCACCGACCCTCCCCATACCCATAAGAGAACGGACTTAACAAGGCAAAACAGTATGGCTGAAGCTATTTACTGTCGCAATGTAGATAACGAAGTCACTCAACTGGAACGAGAAGGTGACACGTATTGTTAAAAAAATTCCTATCAAATCTTTGTTTCACGCATGACACCGTCATATTTCTGAGGAGTATCAGTGAAGCAGAGACGAAACTCAGTGAACCCACGTTTCGAGAAGGAAAACTGAACTCCGCATAAATAGGACGAAGACTCATTTCATGAAGAACCAGAACCTGTCGTGGGAAGGCATGCAAATCGAAATGGTTGGTTCTATGATTAAAGAAACCACTTCGTACGTGTGTCTTCGCCGTTCAAAGAACATACAGAACAAATTGAAAAAGGTATTATACAGATGAAGAAGAGCAACATGGCCGCATTCTGGCCACATGGTGAAGCCACTACCAGCTAACGGATTCAAACATCTGCGTCCACCTTTTCAATTAAGCAGTCCTCTCAGCGCTTTTTTATGCAACGGAAACATGGATTAATACTTCAACTTTGTGAAGAAATCTGCGTACCGCACACAGCGGTATTGAACAATGTCTTCTGAAAGTTAACCGGCAGTCGCAACGTTTAGCCGAAAAACAGCACAAATAATCCAAATCCATCCCATATTCGGTACCATGCAGTATACAAATCAACAACGAAACAGATGTGCCAGTCATATAATAAGAAGAGCATATAGGAGAAGGACGGAAGGAACGGTTGAATGGACTCGAGAAGAGTATAGGCGTGCTTTTGTGCGAGTACCCAAACGATCTCAGTGCAAGTTAATAGCTAACGTCAGCCATCAGTATCTGGTAATGAAAACGACCGCACGATCACGGAATGTGCCTCGCGTATGTCGCCATGTTCTAAGTAGACAACCAACATTGACGACGACTTCGCGAGAGCGAATCAAAGGAAAGTTATGTTTGGACTTGCAAAACCAGTGAAGACGGTGTATCCAAGTATCCAACTAAGTAGGCAACTATAAGTTGTTATTTATGAAATCAAGTTTATTAGACAGTAAAATAGTGCTGGCCTAACAATGCCAACGGCCTGGGCGAATGACTAGTGGCTGACCTCTGAGGAAGTTCACCGTTTGAGGATGCAACGTTACTACTTTTCTTATTGCAATGCTTAGATGCAAAGTTAGTTGTCAATGTTCTCGTGTTTACTCTTCGAAAAAGGGCCAAGTTCAAGTCGTATTGCCATAAAGTAAACAAATGTGTCGTAGAGTCAGTGGTTTTCGATACGATATTTCTTGCAGAAACTTAGCATTCTTTTGTTTCCTGGTTAAAATTCCGTCTTTCTTTTAAAAAATCTGTCGCCACTTTTGATTTGCTATCTGTTTTTAGGTATTTTTTGAGGATAATCGAGCTAATGACATAAAACACCTGCAAGACAGAGTCCGCAAACTTTCGGGCAATCCTCGGCAAGAATCGCTCTCCATAGGGGGTCACTGCACTGATTCTGCGTAACCGTTTCACATTTCACTCGTGGGACTGAAGTGATGCCGTTTTACAGTGATGTAAGAGTTTCACTTCTTTTATAAAACTACTAACAAAATTTAATAACTACATCACCACTTCCATAGAAAAACACAATACAATACAACGCTAGTTGACGTTTCGGCACTATCGCTTTCTTCAGAGCCTGGAAGGGTATGCTGATATACAATCTACTAGGCCAAACGCTTCAGTAACACTTACAAAAAGACGAAAAACTCTTTGGTAATTACATGGTCAACAACTTCTCGAAAAACCCACCGCTTTTTCGTGACTTCCAATGAGGAAGTTTAGAACAGCTGATTAGAGTCGCTTGTGGTGATCAACAACTCGAAAAAAACAAGTTGTTGATCATGTAATTACCAAAGAGTTTTTCGCCTTTTTGTAAGTGTTATTGAAGCGTTCGGCCTAGTAGATTGTATATCAGCATACCGTTCCAGGCTCTGAAGAAGGCGATACTGCCGAAACGCCAGCTAGTCTTGTATTGTATCGTGTTTTTATGGAAGTAAATGTATGCTGTTTAAAAACCTCGCGATTGCTGGACAAGAAAACGACACACTCATATTCCAATGCCGAGGTTAATAGAAAGTCGATCCTGGGAACTATTACATCACCACTTTTTTGCTTTATTGAGCTATGAAAGCTGTTTGGAACTAATCCGTAACATTGAGCAAGTTGAAATTCAACAACGAGATAACTTGAACACGTAAATGTTAACTTACAGAGTTTGTTATCACACTTGTACTCGGGCGTTTCACAGCAATATCCGCAATGTTTGGGACAGGTGGAAATGGCGAGCTGTTTCAACTCTTGGTTTGCACCGACCTCATCCTGAATCGTGAAATCTGTTACTCTAACAGAAACAGTGAGTGAATCCAAAACATTTTACCGGCACCGAGCCATCAGATTAACTCAGTAAGATCTTACTTTTTCCTTTCCACATTTGAAAGTTGTTAATTTCTGAGTTTTAGCAAACGTTACCCTACTCATTCCTTTGTTATCGGGAATCTATTTTGGAGATGCGGATATCACAGTGGTAGTGATGTCTTCTATAGGCCCATGACTTTGGTTTGAGTTCGACCTGTGGCAATTAGTCGCATCATAATTCCGAGGTCAGTAAGTGGATTATTTTGCTGTCTTCTTTCCGCAAAATATAGCTACTGCCTGTAATAAGGACCTGCAAGGCTATTCCTGGATTCCAGGAAGAATCGACTGGTCCCACACTCGCCGGCATTCAGAATGCCAAAAGACCTCAAGCAGCTGCCGAATCCAAAAGCAATTGCGAAGATATTGGTGAAATATAGATTCATGGAAACGAATGGGATGAAAAATGGGTTAGGATCTGCACAATTTGTAGTTTCAGTTCGTATAATATAAATAAAATCCTCTTCAACTTTGCTGCCGAAAAGCTTACTATAAATCATATCATTTGCCACTTTTATCGGTTAGTTTTTAAGGACTTTTGAATAATGAAATCGATATCATTCATAGAACTGACCCTGCTGCATTTGGCGTCTCTGTCCATCGCTCCCATTTCGACTACTGCCACACCGAACAAGGTGGTACAGGCCGCTGTTGAATACTTGTCATTGCAGCTAGTGGCACTCGCAACGAACTAAATTGTCTCATTAAAATGAGGCTCTAACTCAACACTAGTGCGAGGAACCTGTTACTCTTCTAACAGCCTTCCACATTATCTTGAATAGAGATTGTTCTTAGGTGTTCGAATATGGTCTATAGTGACGGTTTCGTCCATCATCAATATTAAAAATAAACGATTTCCTAATGGAATTCGTAGGTGAAATGGGAGAACACTATGCAACGTTAACGATTTGACTCTAGCGAGGTGTTCAATCTCAGGAAATAACGTTCTCTAAGAAAATCTCGGAAGCAAAATTTAAAAAATTTTTGAAATAATGACAAATATGAGAAAGAATGAGGTTTAACGGACAAAATAGTGCATGGACCTTCGTATTGGCAGCGTCCAAGTTGGTGCAATTCATGTCGGTGAACGCGCCCGCGTTCACTGAGGCGATCAGAACAGCAGCAAAGACCAGCTTAAACTGCATTACACCTGAATTAACTTGCTTTTTTAAACAGTTCTAAGGCTTTTATGAAAGGTTATTTAGCTCATATACCAACGTCTAAACTGTAAGAACCTTCAAGAAAAGTTTTAATCTCCCAAATTTTGTTCCAGGATACAAATATTGCAAATGAAACAGAAAGAAAGGTGGGCTGATGTTCTGAACTGAACTCTTGTCACCTTTTTGTACGGTCTAGAACAATGGAGACTATTCTACGAAGCTGCTTAAACACGTCTCATGCAGTTTTGACTATACAGCTGCGTAGTGAGAATTCTTCGAGCGTCGACAATGCATCAGACCAAAGTGCAATTTTTTTCCTAAAGTTTCCGCAGTCGGCCATCTCGTTTTCATTTCTATGGGTGCGAAATTTTAAACAGAATTAATAATTTTGTTGATAAAGCGGGGTCTAGTGGAAGCAAAAGCTCTTCATGGAGATAAGAATGATGCTTCATATCTTCTGTGTTCGTACTCACTAGCTAGCGAAGATTTGAAGTGAATACTCACGCTGGATGTTTTCATATTTCATATGAGAACGTGCTTCACATTAACAACAATTTGTTCTATAAGCATACAAAAAGACGCACCTTTCACCCTGCCAAAAGTTGCAAAAAATGGGATTTTGAACACCACATGATTGTGCGGAATTTTTAGAAACACTGCCCGTGTTAGAGCGATTGTGCACAAAAATCTTGTGTGGCAACATGAAAGCAGTAAATTTGATTAGTAATTTCTGCTTACTTCGGTTTTTTAGAACTTTCCACTTCAAATTTCACTTTTGCTAGTATTTTCGTGGTTGGACAGGCGCTTTTCCGAAGAAATCACTTCCCGCAATACAGTTGGGAACGCTCCAGCTCGGCTATCCCAGAACTCCCAGAGGAAACGGCTAGACCAACATTTACGACATTCAAGATAAACTGAAGATCGTTAACAGCAGCCGAAGCCACACGTAAAAGTTGGAAGACCTTCGTGGATGATGGACGTGAGGAAACGAGTCGAATGTAAGAAGTGCTGAGATTCGCACTGTGTACTTGAAAACGGGTCCTATAAAACAATAAAAAAATTGTTCACTTTTTATTTCCTGCCTTCTATTAATTTTATGGCAGGGTGTTAAGCGAAATACAACCACAAGATTGCTGTGATATTTGCAAAATTCTGGACCGCAGGTGTCTGTGGTGGGGAACGAACGCGCTATTGTCCTTTCCGGGGAGTAACGCGCTCACCACCACACCATGAGGGTCCTTCGTTTCGCCTGTCTCTCAGCTAGTTGTGAATTCAACTACAGCCTCAGCTTAACTGGGTTCAATACCGATGTGGGCTCCTCAGATCAATCCCGTTGACGGGTGATTGCTAACGGTACAGATCAATAGAATTAACTGAGAGACAGGCGAAACGAAGGAGCCGCATGGTGTGGTGGTGAACGCGTTATTCACCGGAAAGGACAATAGCGCGCTCGTTCCCCACCGCATACACCTGCGGTACGGAGTTTTGTAAATATCTCAGCATTATATACGACTTATATTTCGCAACATACCCTGCCATTAAAAAAAGAAAGGCAGTAAATAAAAGGGTTAAGAAACAATTTAGATCACAGTTGAATGCCCAGGGAGAACTTGCTACAACAATGTGACGTAAAATCGTTGAGGTAGATACTATTTGTTTTTTGAAGCACGTGGCAATCCTGTGTTACTGAAGTTGCTATGTATTTAACTACATCCTTAGACAATTCGTCCTCATGAATTGTGTGTGCTGCAGCACATCTTCCATTGTTTTTCGTTTTCTCGCTGTCGTCATTTCTCGTTTTGTCCTGTTTGGAACATTATGACGTTTGGGAGCATCACTCTATGATCCATATAACAGTTGCAGCTGTGAACACAACTGACTGATATCATTCACATGCACATTGGTTTTTTTTTGTAGGGTGGAACTAGAAAGAGTGTTTATACGTTTTGGGATCTAAAAGTATAGTTCTCGCTTGTCTAGTAACTAATATTATAGCAGAAAGCGAGGATGATTATTGAGGCGGATTGTCGACTATCTACTATTGAGACATGCTGTTGGGTTCATCAGTTGATCGATGCTTTTCTAAAAAGCGCCTACAAGGCCCATGGGAATCGCCCTCCTTATCCTACACTATCTCCCCTCCATGTTGCTTCCCACGTTTATTGGATACCGTAGGAAAACGTTAAACAACCTATATGTGGAATCAAAGGAACCATCCATTTGTATAATTATCATTATCTCCACATAAATTTTTAACAAATATGTTTTTCTTCCGACTTATCTGTAGCTGTATTTTGTTACACATCACTCGGCTCTCTGAACACTGTCTCTATAGAAATTCATCAAAAGATGGCGATATCGTCAACAAGGCTAAGGCAATTTTTCCACCAGTGCTTTCGCCCTTATCGTCAATTTAAATGAATTCGTCATCCGATTCAGAGCGAAAACAGCTTTGGCGAAATGTTGCCTCCATATCAGTCTCTTTCGCTATGGGCATGGTAGTGGATTAATGGATGAACAAATCTTGATATAAAGACCGAAAAATCTTTAGGAAAAGCCTTTGAGGGGGGCAAAACGGAATAGATGGAACGGGAGTAACGGTGATGTTTTTGTGACTCTTCGCAAGTGAGTTGGTTGCCAGGCTCTCCACAGTTTAGGGATCTTCCCTACTTAAAATTTTAAAGGAGTTTGCTTTGACTTAGCGTGCTCCTTTAGTTCTGTCTATTTTCATGCTCGCGACGACAATTCAAAAGAAGAATATCATTTTGACTATTGTCCAACAGAGATTTTAAGATTTAGGAGTTGTAGGATGAAAAAGCTTGAAATAGAACTTTTCCGTTACAAATTCGCACACGTGGCGGAGTGTGGTGTTAATCCTATTTTTGTTCGTCATTGTTTACAGCAAAGGTTTACGTTCACATAAAATCCAACGCACTTTCGGAGGGTGTTTCTTGAGTTGGTTCCAACTCTTTTTCTCATTAAATTGTGTTAATTGCTTCTAGAAGATTTTCCTACTGCGTACATCTATTATTTATTTTACTTATTTTCCTACATAATTCGACGTCATATGTTTCCCAATGTGCGGATTCCAGCATTTTTACATTCGATTCTTTTCCTCACATACACCTTACACGAAGGTGTTTGAACTTTCTTGAGCATAAGTTCGGTTGTTCATTGAGAATTTTTCGCATTCGCTACGAATGTCGTTGAATGCTGGTCGAATCGTGCTCCCTGGAATTTTGAGATAGCCGTCCATGGGTGCTCTCATATGGATTAAAGGGAGTGAAGCTCTGAAAGACTATTCCGGTACCAATTTTCCGAGTGCGGATAAATAGGAAGCTCGATTACCCAAGAGTGGCGTCCAACTAGTGAATGTATAGCTTTGGCTGCCCGCATAATGAGCGGGATTGCAAGCATTGTGTTACACTCTCCCTATGTGTATTTATTACTCGCTGTATTTCGTGTCTCTCGTATGCTTCTGATACAACGGATCTTCCTCATATGACGGATCTCGGAGCCAGTTAGTCGCGAAGATACGTGGCGCATCCCTAGGTGGCGGACAGGAGATCAATCGCGGACCAAAGGCGACCTTTGCTTCCGTGAGACGCAGGTGGATCCAGACGATGGACCTCCTGTTTCTGCCGCGCCGATTTGGCACATATTTTATGTGTTTGCTAGGCGTATTCACGCATGCGTGGGTGGGTTCGTTCTCGCTTATGCGGTTTGTATTCTGCGAGGCAATTGGGCCAAAACCCTACAATCAAGTGACAGAGGAGAATATGGGAGGCGGTTAGGAGTTTCCTCCAACAAACAGGCTCAATGTCTGCTCTAGGAGAGCCTGGCAAGCTACCCTTGAGTATACCCAGCCCTCACGTTCAGAGGTCAGCAAGCTATACATGGGTATCAAAAAGCTAAACACAGCTATACAAACCGGCCTCATTCCCCTGACCCCGAAAGAGCCCCCAATTCGGCGGTGTTGGGTAGGACGAGTACGCAGAGGCTGCTAAAGTCTCGGAGCCAGTAAAGGCTGCCTAAGTCATATAGAACTAAGGTGGCGATCTGTACCTACAATGCACGAACACTTGCATCCGAATCTTCGATAGAAGACTTGATCATGCAAACAAGAAGGATAAGGTATGATGTCTTCCGCCTGGAAGAGACGAGACGACGCCATCCATTCAATGCCGTATATGACACTGGAGAAGAATTGTTCTTCGGAACATGCGACAGTAGAACAGTCGGCGGTGCCGGCGTTCTCGTCAACACGAGTTTGACCACGAGCATCGTTTCATCCGAACAACTAACAACCCGAATCGAATGCTTGCGAGTATACATTTATATATTCACATACGTAGCACAGTGGCTAGAGGTGTTTAGCTGAAAGTGTACGCTGGATCGATTAATGATTCGACCACGCGCTTTGGTCTCAACAATCATTTTTACAATCCTC